CCTGTAGTGTCTATAAAATTTATTGTTCTGGTGGGCATTACTCATCTTACCATAGACTGTGGGATAAATCCTGGTGTTCACCCTATCACCAAACTTTGCATATAATAAAAATCTCAATAAATTTTTAAAATAACTTGACATAAACAAAGATAGTGCAATGTCATCTGTGCTATTCATCTGTGGCGGACCCTGGCCAGCAGAGTCCGCCTGTTGTGGCTGACGGTGAGAATGAATGCACAGGCGACAACAGTTCTGTGGAGAAAAAGGGAACAGCATGACTACTCTCTCAAGGGGAGAGTGCCTGTGGTGCCTCGAGCACTCTCTCAATGGGAGAGTGCCCAGATCCTTGCCTAGACAGGCTTTTATTGTTTTCCTGGGGTCTTACATCAGAGATTTATTATCTACCACATAGAATATTATTATCTACGTTTTAGGTACAATCAAGGAAATGAAATAACATGCAGAGGGGAATGGTGATGAGCTGATTAGCTCTGTCCTTGGGAAAACTCATACAGGCTTTGGAAATTACCTTGAAGATAGACAATACATATTTGTTTTCTATGTATTGTCACCCTTTTAGACCAGGGTGATGGAGTTTTAGCAAGAGCAAGCCATAACAGTCTGTATGCATTTTTTAGGCCTGATTCCCATGGGAAAACTCAGTTTGAAGGTCTGGCTCCTGCCCACCACTTCACTTCTGTAGGTTTTCCATAGAGAGCTGAGTCACGTTTGCCAGGCCAAAACAAACTGGTCCCCTATAATCCCCCCCTTTTTTTGTTAAGGCTGTTGTTAATGATGCATTCTACAAGACTTGCTACTTGCTGCTCTCTTTTGCGACCCTGGGCAAATAATTTATAAATGCATTGTAATATACAAAACATTATTAAAATCAGTCTCCTGCTTAGTTAACTGTTGAATGTCCTGCAACTGTTGGTGTATCAATCACGTTCATTTGATACTTTAAGATAACTTTCACTAAGAAAATAATCTCTCGTGTATAGACTATATGTCTGAAAGTATTATTTTTAAGCCTTTAAAATTTGTGGCACATTAAAGCAGAAAAAAGCTGTGATTAAGAAATGCTCACGTTGATTTAAAGCTCATTAATAATTTTAATTAAGGTTTCTGATTTTTAGTACAATTTGGCAGCTTTAAAAATACCAATTCCTATTTAATGTATAATTTCTTTTTCATGTTAATATTTGCACACTTCATTCATGAAAAAAGTGTTTTGCACAATTTCAGTGGGTAATGGTCACTCTTAGATCTGTCTCACAATGAGATTAATGGGAAGTTTCTATCAATACATATTTCTGGATCTCAGACTTGCGTATTTAAACTTAGCTTACCAGGTATTTCTAATAATCAGGGAGAATTCAGACCAAAAACGCTCATGTCTTTTTGTAAAATACTTTCTCCACGTTTGTAATTATAGGAACTTCCACTAAGACTTGCCATTTTCCAATCACCTATTAATTTTTAAAAACAAAAACAAATGGGAAACTGCGCATTCTAAAATTCCCGGATATAACTGATTATTCTTATAGGCCTCAATACTTGTCATCTAATATATACTTGAATTTATTCTAAAATCTGTTGGGCTGAACTATGGCTCCCCCCCAAAAGATAAGTTGAAGTCGTACCCACAGTACTCAGCATGCGACCCTCAGGGTCTTTGCAGATTCGACCTAACCGAGGTCATCAGAGTGAGCCCAGTGTGATCAGTGTCTTTACGAAAAGGGGACAGTGGACACGGACTCAGGCTTGCACAGAGGGAAGACTATAGGAGGAGACAGGAAGAATGCCATGCGAAGACAGGGGACTGGAGTGATGGCTCTGCAGGGCAAGGAACGCCAGCGAATGCTGGAAACCACACGACACCAGGAAGAGCAGGGAGGGAAGCTGCACGTGTCAGAGGGAGAGCGGCCCTGCCAACACCGTGGTTTCGGATTCTAGCATCTAGAACTACAGCGCAACACATTTCTGCTGTTTTAAGCTATTCGGTCCTTGGTGCTATGTTTCAGCAGCCCTAGCAAACGAACACACTAGTACATGTCACTGTTCACAGTACAATTTTTCTCACTGGTTTCTTAAAATGTGGTTTATTTTAAAGGACAAGCTTCATTAGTCTCAGGCAAAATTAAGACAAGCATAAAAAAAAACCCTCTTCCTTGAGTGCTCTCTTTAGCAGCCTGTTGAAGCCTATGGACCCTTTCTCAGAATGTTTTTAAATTTATAAAATAATATTTAAAAAGCTATTGGATTATGAATGCATCCAATCATGTTGAAATACTTCTCAGAATTTAAAAAACCCACCACAGTAGTGATACAGTGATATCATGCACTTCATTAGCAACATATTATCTAATAAGAGCTAGTAGAAAGTCTATTAGTGACAAGAATAAATGGTATTTTGAGATAACTATAGTATGATGTGAATTCTGTTGTGACAAAGTCACAGGTACTGTTAATGCTATCGCAGTAATATTATACACTTATAATTTAAAGAAATGCTAGTTTTAGTTACAGGTTAGTGAAAATAGGTATGTACTCTAATCCCAGTGCTGTCTAAAGATGCTCTGAATTTTCTGTGTACCATTTAGAAGTTGGTAGAACCCAAGTAGAGAACTCTTGAAAAGATTCTCTACCTTTATCCACAAAATTATCTTTTTTCCATTTAGATGGAATTAGTCTATATGGCTGTGGTAGGTATGTGCGTATCACTCACTATCTTCTGGTGCATTTTTCTGAACTGCAGAGGGAAGCTGAACCCACACATCAGATTCACTTGCAGCTAAGATTCTGAACATGATTTGGGTTCAGCCAATCAGTACTTACGTGAGCATGAAAGAAGGAAGTGAAGCAGAAGCCATGTGTCTGCTGTTTTTGCTAGCAAGTTTGGATGTGGATGTAGCTGGACTTTTGAGGCAGTCTTACTATGGCGCTCATGTCCACCATTAGATTCATGGGCGTCAAGAGGCAGGGTACAGGTATATTTAGTTGGTATGGTTCCTGGCAGTTGTGGCATGGCTCTGGGAGCTGGCAGAGACAGTATCCTAATCACGGCAGCTCCAGTCCTGAGAGTGGCAGTGTTTCTGGTTCACAGGAGAGGCAGCCCCTCCCTGAGTTCTTGGGTCCTGCTGGGTGGCTGTGAGGTCATTACTGATAGCACACACCACAGTCGTTTCCTTGAGCCTCCCTACAGTTACATAATCAACGTAATGTCCTGAAATAAATCTCTTCTTGCTTCGACTAGCTAGAATGAACTGTTATCTGCAACTGAACTCTGATCCATACAGACTACAATTTATATTCCCTTCCATAAAAGACCTGTTTCCTTAAGAAGCAGTTCTGTCAGACGAGTTGACTATACAGATGTCCCCTGACTTACAATGGTTCAACTTAACGATGGTGCAAATGTGATAAACATTCAGTAGCCATCATCCTTCAAATTTTGAATTTTGATCTTTTCCAGGGCTAGCCATGTGTGATAGATACTCTCTCGTGATGCTGGGCAGCAGACACGAGCTGCTGGTCAGCCATACGATCACGCGGCAAACAACCAATACTCTACAGTGTACAGTCATGCCCACATATCCATGTTGTGGTCAACAATAGACTACATATGTATGATGGCGGTTTTATGTGATGATAATGGGTTACAAGCAAAAAGTTTGTTCGCCATGTTGAAAGAAAAGGCTGACGCCGATTTTGAACTTATCACGAGCTCTGGGTGGTTTAAACAGAAGAGGCTCAGCATGCTGTCTACCTGCGGCCACACACTTGTGTGCGCAGACACACTTTCCTTCCCGCCATTTCCCTTTCTTTCTCTCCTCCCAGTCCTGTTCCTCCCCTTCTCCTCCCCAATCCCTTTCATTATGTCTCATCTCAGGCTTAGTTCTCTGGGTCTCTTTGGGTCTCTCCTCCTCTTCCTCGTCCCTACCGCTCCTGATGTCTACTTCCGGTCCAGAATCATCTCCCTAGCAGCACTCCTGACCCCTCAAAGCAAACATTCACATATTTTTTTATACTGTACCCCTTTAGATACACAAAAACCATTCTGTGCAGAATTCTGCTCTGCTTTGTCTAGTTATAATCACTTTTTTAAGGAGCAATTATTGCCAAATTATAATAAAAAATATTAAATTGCTAAAGTGAAAAAAATATACTTATTTTAGCCCTACCTGGTGTGGCCCAGTGGATTGAGCACCAGACTGCAAACCAAAGGGTTGCCAGTTCGATTCCCAGTCAGCGCACATGCCCGGCTTGAGGGCCAGGTCCCCAGCTGGGCGCACGTGAGCGGCAACCACACACTGATGTTTCTCTCCCTCTCTTTCTCCCTCCCTTTCCCTCTCTCTAAAAATAAATCAATAAAATCTTTTAAAAAGTATGCTTATTTTAAAATACCAACACTGAGAACTTTAAGTTAAAACTATCTTTATGTGGGTGATTTTAAAAACATGGCTTAAACAAAAAGTTTATTAAACAAAAACAGTACGTTTAAGGCTTTTTTCTTGAAGTCTAATAATGCGGGTATTTCTGCGGTTTCTCTGGTTCGGCGACGTGCACCGCTGCACCTGGGGAGGCGCCGAAAACAGGAGCGAAGCTGGAAGAAGGCACGGCTGCCGCCTCTATCTGCTTCCATGTTTCCGCACGAGAAGACTCCAAACAAAGCCACCGATCTCCAGGGACCGGGTTCCCCGCCCCTGGGCCCGCTACACCTCAGATCATTGCTAGAAAAAGGCACAGGGCTTCGGGTATGGCAAGAACCGAACCGTGGAAAGGTTCCAATCCACCCGGCTCAGCCCCGGCAGTTTTCCCGAAGCCCCAGGGTTCGAGCGCGCCGTTGCCTGCCCGGCCCTTTCCCACCTCCGGGCACAAACGAGGAAAGCCGGGCGGGTGGGGACGACTCCGGCGGCGGCAGGCGGGTCGGGACGCGAGCCCGGCGCCCGCCGCTGCCCTGGCCTGCCCGGGCTCCGCGTTCCGCTTGGCACACTTACCAGAAGCAGCAGCAGGACGCCCTCCGCGTTCCTCGCCATCGCGCCCCGCTGCCCGCCGCGCCCTCGCCTCCGGCCGCCGGAGCCGCTCCGCGCCACCGCCCGCGCCCGGCTCCTCCCCGCGCCTGCAGCCCTTTCCCCGCCCCGCCTCCCCTCGCCCGCGGCGCCCGCGCGGTCGCCCGGGGGCGAGGTGCCCGGCGTGGGTGCCCCCGGAAAACGGAGCCTGGGTGGTGGGAGCTGCTGGCGCCGGGGTGGGGAATCCGCAGAGGAAGGAGGCTCCGGGTGATTCCCGCCCCCGTGTCGCACGCGCACCTGGGACCGTGACGTCTCCGTTTGGGGACTTTGCGTGACAGGCCCCGCCCCGCCGCACTCTTTTTCCCAACCCCCTCCTCCCAGGAGAGCGGACTGGACTCTGGGCGCCCAGCAGGGCTCGGCCCCCGGGCGACCTCGCTTTCTGCGGTGGAGAGCTGCGTGCGGGACCCCGCGAACCGGCCTGGCCGCCGAGGCCGCGAAAGGCCCAGGGCTCTGTGAATTTGCTCGGGCCCAGAGCTCAGGTGGCGCGAAGGACGACGAGTGACGTGGGAACCCGCGTCCTCACTGCAAACGTGGTGCGTGGGGCCCACCCTCAGGGAGCAGAAGTTCTGGAGCAGGATTTCAGGTGGCTGTCTCCGCGAAGGTTTTTCACCTGTCCCCCCTGAACTGCATCCGACACGTTTGCAGTTTCTTTGCCCGAGGGAGAAATTTATTAGAAAAATTACAGAGGATGTAAACGGACAGTTCTGTGACCCCTTTAAAGTAGACTCGATTAGGACAAAATTGTAAAGGTGTGAAGGGGAACGGTACACTCTTTGGCATGATTTACAAAATCTCTTACACAAGGCATAACTAGAGGTCGAAATCCTCGCTCCAGTAATAAGTTGTGTGAGCTGGGCAATCTTTTCCTGGCCCACTTTCCAAATCTGTCAAATTAGATGAATAGCTCTCAACATGGGGCTCTCCTAAAAATTAAATCAGAAAATCTCTGCGAAGCATTCTGCAGTGTGCAGTGCATAAGGGTGTCAGTATAACGATATTATTATTGAAAAAGTAAATGTGAACTTCAACTCTTAAAAAACAAAAACACTAGCATCAGCACCAGATTAGGAAATTTATAAGAAAGGTTAACTACTGATGTTGGAATAATGGAACGACCTATAAAAGTTTAAAGGTTTGATTTGCTACTAGAAAAATTTAGCCAAAATAGCAGAGTTCCTTCTATGGTCGGAAGTGCTTTCATCTCTCCTCCCCCAGGATCTCCTACCCTTCTCTCTCTGGTCCAGTTCTTTCCCAGCCATCAAGGACCAGCCCCTCTTTCAGCTGAGAGAACCACATTCTTCTCTGTTTAGGACTCAACTCCTGAGTGACTGCATTGATAATCAAGTTAGCTGAGGACTTAGTGTCTAGGAAGAGTATGTGCTTAGCTTACCATTCTGTTTCCAGTGCCTAGAACAGTGCTGAGTGCCGAGGGTACAGAGTTCAATCTGCAGGGAAGTACATCTTCCAGTCTCCCTTCCTTCCTCCTGAGCCAGACATGGGTGGTAGCACATTTTGGTGATAATTCTCATTCCCCATCATGCTGGGAAAACTAGCTTAACCAGGCAGGCTTTTCCTAAACACTCTCACAGATCATTCCGGGAAACTATACATAAGTCCTATCTGAAATTAATGCTCTTGCAAGTGAATCTTAATAGGCAAGTACTTATGCCTCATTATCAAGACTTTGACTTCTGTTTAACAATGAAGATAATTGCGGGTTCCAGAACGAGAAATAGGTAATGCGAATTTTATTTTTGTTGGGTTATTCAACTTCCTTAGAGGCTGTCAAAGTGAGTTTCAGGATAGCATACCTTCTATAAGCCATTTATTCCACCTTTGAGAGAAGGTGTCCTTAGATGCACCATCCAGTGCCATAGTGTTCCATTCTTGAGTTAGTTTCTCTTTAAAAATTCTGAAACTTCTGACACAGTGAATTGAAGAGACTTGTAGAAAGTCAAATGATTCACAGTGAGTGCTCTGGCTCATGATGTTTCTGCTCGGATGAGAGCAAATCTGTTTCATAAATCTGTGCACAAAAACATGTGGCCATTACTAACAAAGGATTAATTATTACTTTAAAACAAATAGAGGTGTTAGCAAGATATGAAAGATTTAACTGACAGGTTTTCCCTTTAAATTGCATAAACATTATGGTAAATGTGCCTTTCTTAAGAAACATACTTACAATGCATGAGTTCAAAATATCTTTTGTGCAAATAGTTGGCTTTAACATCTACACATATCAAAAATATCTATCTACCTGAGTTATATTTCCTAGAATATTTTGCTGAATTCGTACATGCATGTGGGTGAGAATAAGCTTCAAGTGATTAGCTTATTAGTATCATCCCCGAATATTATCTCAAACATAACAATTTTGTAAAAAAAGTTTGCACCGAGACCAACAAAAATTAATGTGTTTCCTATCTACTATCATGGCCTTCTTACTCCCAATTCTAGCATTTATAAATCAACATTTCTTGGCTAATGATTTGATAGATGCTGATATTTGATTCCACTGAAAATCCCAGTGAGTATTAGAATTAATGTCAAAGAGTTAAAACTAAATCTGGTTGCTACCCTAGGAAACACCCTAGAAGCAAATGATGGAAATGTGTGGCTGTTAAAACACACACACAAAAAATTGTTCATTGTGGTCTGGATGCTTACTCACAGAAAGTTGATTGATAAAGCCTGTGTGGACACAGAATAAACATGAACTATCTCTAGGTGACGTGAGAAGGGCAATGATAGGAGGAATCTGTTTTCACTCATGTATTCCTTCCTTTATTCAACATTAAGTTTGTTCCTGCTCAACAAATATTTAATTTTTGTTTTGTTGGGGATGCAAAGATAAGTAAGTATTTCTTAATTCAAAAAAACAAAAATAGATCTTTATGAAACAGATCTTACATTATGAAAAAATATACCTTTAGCTACTTGTAAACTATTATAAATGTAGTGGTAGAAATATATGTGAGATATAATGTAATCATGAGGAAGGGGGTCCCAGACCCACACTTTGAACCATGAGATTAGTGAACGTTTTTTGGGGGATAGGGGTGGGCTGGGGTGGTGAGCTGATTCTTCAGAGAAGAATAATTGTGAAGGAGACATTGAACTTGTCAGGGCAGAGTAAGTCAAAGCATAGACACTGTTGGTCAAGAGTCAGGGGTTTCAGATTTATCTGTGGAAAAATTTTTTTGAAAAAGCATTACTTTCACCTTACTGACATGAAAGGGAAGTCAGAAGTAAAAGTGGTTTTGTATGTGTGTGTGTGTGTGTGAAAATTGAATTTGAGGTATTACAGCGATTTTAATTAGAAAAGACTAGTAAGTAGTTTGAAATGAGAAGAACGCAATTGCAGATTGAGGTAGGAGGCAGAAACAGTCATCTAATTTTCTATTTTTCTTGCTGTTCTTTCTCAAGTCATTTCTTACTGTCTGCCTACCTGTTAAAGGCACACGCCTTTTGAGTTTTTTCCTTCTTTTCTTCTTACTTGGTACCAAGCATGAATCTGTAGTCACTTTCACTGGGCAAATCTATCACCAGTTTCTCTCCCAATCCTCAAACATGGAACATTACCGTTCGGGTGTTTCATAGGGACCTCAACCGACCATTATAATGTCCTAGGGATATACACTCGTCATACTGACAGAAAAGATTTCTCTCCCCCTCCACACCTCTCCAGCGCAATCCTCCTACTTCCTCATAGGCCTTGTCAATTCTGTCACTCAAGCCAGGAGCCTGGGAGGTACCTTCAATTCTCCTTTCCCCACACCCTCCGTACCCAGTCACCCACCCTTTCCTCCATTCCCTCCCCTCTGTGGCCCTGTCAGAGTGACTCACATACCTGCCTACTAGCGTCACACTGTGGCATGTGGTCCTTTCATCCGTGTCTGCTGCTCCACCCATCCCTCTTTCTCCAGAGTGTTAGTACTTTGAAAGCAGAGGTCACATTCATAGTGAGCCCAGCCCCTTGTATCAAACACATGTTAGAGGTCCAATGAACATTTGTTGAAACGAGCCCACATACTGGGAGGAATAATTCTAGTATTTAAATGTAAATAAAAAGTCGTATTGTAAGGAAGGGTGTCTGGAATATCCACTGTGGATAGTATGTTAGAGGTGGGTCTGGTCAGAAAAAGTTGGTTTGGGGCGTGTCTGTGGGTGCACATGTGTATAAGCACACATGAGTGTACCCGTGTCAGTTGGTACATGTGTGCTTTCTCCAACCACGCTGAAGCCAGGAGCAGGAGAAGAATAACGGTTGGTGGGTGTGAGTCAGGGGTACGAGTGCCTTGGCTGATGGTTAAAGGTGTAAGTGTCCAGGATGCAAAGGGACTTGAGTGTGGAACAAGAGATGGACAGGGCAAAGCCGGAGGAGTTCAGGGGCCAGCTAAGAAGACAGTGTATTACATCAGGTATAGAGAAACGAAGAGGATTTTTCTTCCCTTTAATCTGGAGAAGGAGGGTGGTTCCTTTCCACAGAAACCCACAAGAGCGACATCACAGACTAGGAGTCAGGATGTTGAGATTCTCATGGATTCTCCTGTTAGATGAACCAAGGAGCCTCGGCCAGCTTGGGGCTGGGGGATGTCCTCTTGTGATAACAGGGTGGGAAAAACTTTGTTGCCTTTCTGAGCTAGAATTTACAGAGTAATAATGGAAGCCCAGCAGACTGCAAGCCCTATGGTCTATCACAGGAAAGCCAGCATATTTCTAATGAACAGTCGCACACTTTGGGGACCACCGTGAGAGTCCCCATGAGACAGCCATGAGAGCCAGCCACAGCCAGCACCCTGAAAGCCTGAGGGAGCCTTGTGCAGTGAGTCAGGTGTCTGACTGAGCCGTTTCCCATGGGCTCCTGTGAGTCACTATGAGAACTGGCCACATGGATGCAAAGTCCCTGAACCAAAATGGCTTAAGGAGATTGTTAATTTTGTGCATGGAACAGAGGAAAATTAGGTGATGATACTATAGGTGCAAAATAGGATTTGGCTCAGCAAAGAAAACAGAGTTGTCTATTCTTGGATCTAGGTAGAGTGCTGAACACATCTCAAGGGATTTTTAAAAAATAAATCATACTGGTTTTAAAAGATGATAAGACTGTAGTAATGCTGGATGGAGGTGTATACAAAGTAGCAATTATCTTGATTATCTTGGAAACCTTAGCAAGGCTTTGATGTCCCTACTGACTAATGCCTAAAATTTGTTAGCTGGAGGCTCTCACATTGCTTGCATATTACTGGAAGGGTTGTGTGTTATCAGTTACTTATATCACAGCACGACGCAGCTAATGTATCAGGCACGCTCCACCTCAGGGCCTTTGCACTCAGTTTCTTTTCCCTAGAAGGTTCTGCTCCAGACATATACACAGTTTACTCCCTCGCTCTTAACTCATCCACAGATACTGCTTTATCAATGAGGCCTTCTCTGACCACCCATTTAATCATTGTGATTACTCCCCCCCCCAGAGTGCTCCCCACTCTCTTTCCCTGCTTCAATTTTTCTTCGTGGCACATCACAATCTATAAGACTATGTGTTTACTTATGTATTATCTGCTGTCATTCACTGGAATG